GCCCCTCCGCGCCCCCCCCTAGCTTTTCGAATTTGGCGACTCCTGCTCTCCAAACCTAAGTATCAGGAGCGTCCCGTTCGCCGACCAGGTTGCGTTTGCTGATTCCATCGCAAAATGAAGAAAAAACGTGGAAAAACAGTGGAAACGAACTCAAGTTGGTCAAAACAACGCGATCAAAAAAGCTTGCAGGTCGCACACGGCCAGGATGCTGACCCCGTGACCCCGGAATTATGACGCAAAAACCGGTTCAATAAACCCTTAGCGTTCAGACCAGGTTTTTCGGTGGAAAAAACCCACAAAAACCCCTCAAAAACCACCTCCCGAGGTGGTTTTTCAAAATCGGATTTAAACCCCTAAAAAACCGGTTAATTTGCGTTCACACCAGGTTAAATAAAAACCGGTTTTTCAAAAACCGGTTGAAACCGCTAAATATAAGTCTGGTATGAACAGGGTCTATGTGTTGAGTTACAGATTAAATGGGTCAACTTGAGTTGACATGGGTATTTGTTACAAATCATGTCATTCAGCTTTAATTACAACCATGCTGCTCTTCAATGTTACAATTGAAAATATTATGAAATAGAGACCTCTTCACTTTAATATATCCAAGGAGGCTTGATTTTTAACTTCCTTGCTTTATTATATTAACCTGGGTACCAGGAATTTTAACTTTATCTTCCTTATAAAGTTGAAAAAAATGCTAATACTAACTTTTGACCTGTCCTTGAATGATTTGACTTTCCTGCGCTTGTGCTGCTGAGGTGATGCCGTCTTCTGTGCTGCTAACATGGTTGTTAACAGGGTGTTTCTCTCCTCACTGTCACTGGAACCACTGCTGCTGGTGCTCTCTCTCAGGGTCTGCATGGGGATAGCACAGCCGCAAATTTGGATCCACAACAGTTACAATGTCATTCATTGTCTTGTCTTTTGGGCTTTAACTTTAAAGTAGAGCCAACATCAACTTGCTGATGAACCTGCTACACTGAATCACCAACTCTGTGCTATAGAATTTGGACCACCACATGCATAGTCTTTACCAGACTCCTTTTTTGGCTAAATTAATCAGCCTGAAGGTGACTGCATAAAAGATACATGATGAAAGGTCTGCATACAAACTGGTCCTTGTATGGCGGGCTAACTCCACTGGCCAAATTATATCCCAAAATGTGTTTGTAGTCTGCTTATGCTAGCCAAGGGCCAGGGGAACGCATCGAACGAGCCTTGTCTTTCACTTCACAAAATTATCAGAAAGACTTGCAAGTTTGCAAATTTGTAAGCTGCATGACCGGGCCTAGCCGTGGCGACTCTTGATTCGGGCTTACATAACATTGCATTACCCTCAGCTGAGGGTAATGCAAATTATGTAAGCCCGAATCAAGAGTCGCCACGGCTAGACCGGGCCAAAACCCCATGTCGCATGTCGACATGCATGCATGTTGGACAAGCTTCAAAACTTAAACCTCGCTACCTCCGTCAACGTATGATGTTGAAAGCTCAGCTATTGAAAAGACACACAATATAACTTCAACGAACTGTACAACACAGAGACAGGTTTTACCCTGGAAGACGAGAAAATCGAGTTTTCTGCAGAGAGACGCGCGTTCTGCACCACCGACGCCATTTCGAGTTTCCCACCACACTGAAGTCATGTGGTGAAAAATACCTACAATGCACCACGAGAGCCGGAAGTGTACTCGGAAATGACTTAATCTTGGCGCCAAATTCAAAATGAGGATCCTACACATGTCACGTCAAATTTTTTTATTCAAAGAAACAACAAGGCCATGTTGATTTGATAATATGAATGGAATCCTCTGGGAACCCCAAAACTGATGCGAGCGTGCGAGTAAAAAAGTTTGGCAAAAAATAAAGTTGCCTTCATTATGAAATCTAGGTGGTCGTGAAGGTTGAACAAATGACTAAACACACAGAGTAATATTTTATTGTCTTTATTGGCATGGTGAATAATTGGCCCTTCATTTTCATCCCTTCACATTTTCTTCTTGTCCTTTGGAATGGATTTTGTCATTCCGCGACATATTATAAGTATCGTTTTCCAATATTTTTTTTTAATTACAGCATATATTAATTGCTCTTTTTGTACTTTGTTACTGTATGATTTACAGTATGGTTGAAAACTTTTTTTTTGGAAACAGATGAAAATTCATGCGCACGGGGATGTCATCCATATACTAGTAATCAAATCAACATGGAAGAAAAGGTACTACTGTGGCTGACAAGTACACACCCGTGTTGTCTGTGCAGGAAAGCTGCGTCATCTGCACAACTTATGTGGCATTGATCTGTGAATTGGTTTTTATGCACCGTTATATATAAAATAAAAACAAACAAACAGCAAACACACTTGTTTTAATACCAATAAACCTTGCACTTTATTGCTAAGCATACATGTAACAACCATGTTATACTAGTAGTAGGCACTATTATTTTTTCACGATTCTATTTTATAGTTTTTGGGGTCAAGGCATTATAACAGCAACAACGCAATTCATGTACATACATGTAACATCTGTGTCCATAATATCACCAGGGTCCACAATATCACCACCTTGAGAAATAGTGGGCTTTAAGATATTTTTACTGCAACATACTTTTGGTATGCACTCCTTCACAAATGTACATACATGTACCTAGGGTATGTTGCAGTAAAAATATCTTTAAGCACACTATTTCTCAAGGTGGCGATATTATGGACCCTGGTGATATTATGGACACAGATGTTACACATATCTTGAAAAATATCATATGTCTTCCTAAAGACCAATAAGAACTAAAATCTAAAATATGAATAACATTTACTTAAATGTGTGCAACAATCTCCACTGTGATCACCATGATACATTTGTGTGACATTAAGTGCAGCAGCATTAACTCACTAACTATATCAGGATTTGTGGTAGAATCAACATTTATAAGTCCAACACTGGTGATCTAATGTACAATTTGTAATACATGTACACTATATACTGAATGATCTAAAGTGTTAACTATGTGTGAGAAATTTGCTGTATACTGTGAGAGACAATGCTTATGTATATTCTAATGGAAGGTAAAAGTTAACATGCCTTATAGCCTCAATCGAAGTGTTCTAGCCAGCCTGAATTTTTTTCAATCCTCTATATTTTTTTTTTAATGAAACATCCTAGGGAGGTCTGGGGGAATGCTCCCTGGCAAAATTTTGAAATCTTGACCGGCATTGAGGGGCAAATTTTGCTGGGTAGACTAAACTTAGTTTAATGACATCAATTTTTGCTGGCAAAGATGACGGCTTAGGCAAATTTTGTCCGCCATTGATGACAGAAAGACGTACGCTGGCTATAGAACAGTGGTGTCAATACTACTAATAATGCAAAAGGTGTTTAACACCTGGTCTAGTGGCTGATAGTTAATAAACAAATAACAGCACAATTTCTCAACGATTGCTTTATCAATCCTCGGTAGTAAGTACAATCATACTTAGTCTAATACTCCTAGGTAATCGTCACCATATTAATCACTACCTACACTGGAAGCCAGTAATCTATTTTGCTGGATGATACATGTACCACATTTTTACCTCCATGAAATGTGTCATGGAGGTTATATTTTCAGTTGCGTTTATCTGTCCGTCCGTCCGTCCGTCCGTCTGTCTGTTGGTCAACAAGATAACTCAAGAACGCCTGGATGGATTGGTTTCATACTTGGTGTGTTGGTAGGGTGTGACGAAAACTGGAAATGATGAGATTTTGGTCCCCCTAGTGGCTTCCCTTGGTACTGCAGCGCAACTTCCGGTTTTGATATCTCGCGACCTGGACATGCTAGGGTCATAAAATTTTGATGGAAGGTAGCTCTCGTGCTTGGGAAGAAGTCATATGAGTTTGGGCCCCCTAGCGGCTTGTTCTGGAACTGCAGGGCACTTTCTGGGGAAATGTTTAAAAGCCAATAAGTCCAGACAGGAACAACATATTTTCATTATTTTTGGTGTGTAGGTAGCTGAGAGAGAGATGTACATAATTAAATGCAAATTATGCAAATGAGGACTTTATTTGCATAATTAATGAGGAAATTCTATAATTACAGTGTTTTACATTATCTCGTGATCTGGACATGCTAGGGTCATGAAGTTTTGATGGAATGTAGCTCGCGTGCTTGGGAAGAAGTCATATGAGTTTGGGCCCCCTAGCGGCTTGTTCTGGAACTGCAGGGCACTTTCTGGCGAAATGTTTAAAAGCCAATAAGTCCAGACAGGAACAACATATTTTCATTATTTTTGGTGTGTAGGTAGCTGAGAGAGAGATGTACATAATTAAATGTAAATTATGCAAATGAGGACTTTATTTGCATAATTAGTGAGGAAATTCTATAATTACAGTGTTTTACATTATACTATGTAACCTATGGCAGGCGGAACTTCAACAGATACTAATTATGCAAATGATGTCCTAATTTGCATAATTAATGTGAAAATTCTATGATTTCGTAATGGTGAATGATGAGAATGTCATACTTGGGACATCTGTAAGTTAATCAAAAGTTAACATACATCACGATGCATATATCATGTTAATGCAGAGGTCATTTGAACAATTAAAGAAGAAATTTACATTTACATATCAAGATCATATTTCATGGAGGTATGAGATCTCGGAATTCTAGTTTTTTATTGCTTTCAAAACTGTTTAGCATCAAATGCCTACAACAACAGTAAAATTTAACAAGTTTTTTGACACCACACATGTACACCTGTATTTCACATTAAAAGGTCTCACCTCAAAAACACTTTTTTCACAAATAGAACTTGCTTTGGGCATCTATCATATTAAAATACATATTCTATACAAATACGGTTTCTTCGACAAAAATATCTCAAAATGTTGACACTAGAGGGCACAATCACAAATAATTTATTCCACACTTCTCCTGAAGTATTTGACAAGAAGATGGCAATCCTCTGCAAAGTTCATTGAGTGCAGTTTATTTGGCTACCAAAAAAACAGTTGGTGGAAAACATTATGCTAAAATACAGTATCCATAATCAAACACAATGGGCCCTTACGGCCCAAAAAAACTGGGCCGAAAATCTTGGAAAATAACTGAACTTTTTAACGTGTCTTGCACTTTATGCACCAAGCCCGTGTGGGCTTATAAGACACCGGAAGAAAATATAAAAATGTATGGTACATAAAGCTGGAGAACAAAAGTACAGATTGTGGATTGAAATAATCAACCAAAACTAAAGAAAAACAAAAGTAAAATACAAAACAAGATTGGTGTAACCCTGGTTTCCAGTGAGGAACTAAGTACTGGGCCAATAATCCCAAAAGGGATGTCAAATTCTACTTTCCCCAACAGACAGCCACAGACAACAGTTAACTCTACACAAAGGTGCTCCCAAGAACAACCATATACATGTATATATAATATATGAATCAGCACGTTGGCAGAACGTACTGCATTTTTATGGTTTCGTGGGATTTTTGGTCAACACTGCATCAGAATTTTGCCTGTTACAGAGGATATCTTCTTTTACGACACAACATTTACACAGAGTGTTAACCTTATATGCGCAAATATGACCTTATATGAGATGTTCTGTCAAAGTCACTGCTATGCACAATACATTACGGGTTTCGTGCAGGTGCAGTATGTTCTGTCGACGTGCTAATTGAATCCATTACTTCCAGG